GAACCTAAGCCTTGTGTATTCTGGACGTCCCAAAGCACACTTCTGAACGCTATTTGGCAGTAGCTCTCAGACTGGACAGCAGAACAAGGTTCCCCTATCTGCTTATCATTTAAAATGCCCTATCAAGTCATGCTGATCTGCATATTTTTATCTGCAGCTAATAGCTTTTTTTATAGCCATAAAGCCACCACTTCCATTCCACTCTTAAAATCTAAAACTCGTTACAAAATAAAGCCATTCTTCTACTGCATTGGTGGTCAAGAGTAAGAAATCGAGAGTAAACTATGCAAGTATTTTTCACTTGTGCAAATTTTGAGACAAAGCTTTGCTTTAAATGCTTGTGCAATCACTTATTTTGAATACAGTCTGTTCTAAGAGTTTCCTCCCAATAAATTGGTTATGTCACACATGTAAGTGGTTTAGCCACAATATTAAATCAATCTAAATCCCAAATGGCCAATGGGAAGTCTGCACAGAGTGCAGCATAAGATAAAAAACCCAAGCTATTTCTGGAACCATGTCAGTATTTAAATACTGTGGTACTTTCAGTTGCAAGTGAAGATCAGACAGGATGGCTTGTATAGGCTTAAAGCAAGAGCAGCAAAGTTAGAAACATAATGTATTCCTAATACAACTATCAGTTGGTAAACACAGAACAGCTCCTTGCCAACCAGCAGCACTGGAGCAGACCTTGACCAATTCATTTACTGAAGTAAACAAAACACTCACCTGAGAACGTATTATCTGCAAAACGCAACAGCAAACTGCTCTTGCCCACACCTATGACAAACAAAAACAGCAAGATCTTTGAATACAGTCATCTTGGGTGTCAAGTAACATAACTATTTCACCCATCCATTCCATTTTAAACTCTAACTAGGTTATTTTCTCAGCAGATAACTTAGTACCATCCACCTTGACTATTCATCTCAGTACTCCCCTTGAAGATTTGATCAAGCATACTGCAGTCGTTCCAAGACTCAGCATGCTTCTTGTAGCAGTACAGGGGGTTTTTTTTGATGTCCTCCCCCCTCTTCCTCCAGCTCTCAGCAAAATCTCAAATAGTAGCTTTTGAACTGTGGTCAGTTCTAAGAGGTCATAAAAGACTAATAACTAAAAGCAAGTTTATGATTGGTAGGCTTATATTTGTTAAGGAAAGATCCAAAAATTAGTATGTCCTGATAATTAACAAGTACTCAGAACACTGCTCTAAACTACTCTGTTGAATTCCACTTGCACATCATGCTTAACACCACTGCCTACTTCCCATTCATCATGCTGTGCTGAATGGCAGTGGAATTTGGACTACTTTGATTAATCAGACTAGGGTTTGGTACTATAAAGCTTATGTTATCATAGCCACAGTTTAACAGAAGCCTAAACCAAACAAAGGAGTTGGGAACCATTGTTTTGTATTGCCATCCAAAATATGCTTGTTCCCCATCTAACAGGAAGGACACATACCTTTCTGCAGTTGTACCTTTTGCCAAAATGCCCCATGAAACATTTTTGTAAGTGCTTTGAGTAGCACTTCATCCAGGTTTTCCTTAAATGATTGTTTGCACCCTGATCACACCCTGTTGCAGGGAAGTATTTTTCACAATGCTTCAGACAAGAATCATAAGCAACTCATTCCTGCATGCCCAATCAAGGGAACCTGGGTATCAGAACGCCTCAAAGTTGTTATCTCTGCATAACATCTCTGCTGTTAATGTCCCTTCCCCAAAAAAAGTAACTCTGCTATGGCATGAAGAGGAAATTCAACTTCACCAGGGTGATTATCTATTAAATCTTTTCAGGTAGAAGTTATTTAAGCAAATTATTTTGATGATACATAACTTGCAAGTTCTTCTTAATTGAAGACCTATGCAAAGACTATTCAGAACTCCAACAGTTCTCAGTTGCTGGCATCTGAAGATAGCTACCAGCAAAAAAAAAACCCAAACAAACAAAAAAGCAACCAAACAAAAATCTACACAATTCCAGTAAACCAAATCTCTTTTGCAAATAGTTCAAATCACCAGACATCTGGAGAAACCATGCTCATTTCTCATTATTACAAATCTTAAAAAAACAAAAAACAAAAAACAAAAAACAAAAACTAAACAAACAGAAAAACAAAACTTAAAGAATGCAACTACAAAATAAAAAGTTACAGTGTACTGAATACCTCTGAGCTCAAAAAAGGCAGCAGAGCAGTTCCTGAACTTTAACTAAGGACTAGTTATTTAGCAAGAGCTAAACCTCTGCAAAATACCAGTCAGCTAAGGAAAAATATTTTTTAAAAAAAAAAGGTATCAGCAAGTACTATGCTTCTTGATTAAGTAGCCTTAGCCTCCAGCTTAGTAAAAAGAAAGTAGATGCTGGAACCCACACACTTGTCAGACCACACCACCCTCTTAAAACGTCAGCCAGGCTGTGCTGCAGAGCTCCATGGGCTGCACATGACCTCTGCTTTGTCAGAATGTCCACTGCCACACAGACACAGTCTTGTCTATACTGCTCTCAGCACTCAGGCAGCATCTAGAGAAAAAAAAACCTCCTGAACTCAGGAAGTTCTACACGCTCCCGATGACAACGATCTCACTAAACAAACACTGCCCCTGACCCTCAATGTTCATGTATAGGGAAGCCACACTCTTCATGACCCTCCACTTCCTACACAGAGTTATTTGAAGATCTGAAAAAAGAAGGCTAGCAGGGCCTCTTTGCTTGTTGAAGACAGCAAAATGAAAGGAAACAAAAAAAGGCCTATCAACTTCGCACAATCAAAAACAAAAGCAAATTTCTGTGCCATACCAGTTTCTAAACCCCATATCTTACTGAATGGTAGACTGAATTAAAGAAGTACATGCAAAGCACAGATCATCTGTATTAAACATTTGGCACAACTGAGATGAGCAGCAGCTTTTCAAGATGATCTGTTCTAAAAACACACAAACCTACTACCCTCTTGACATATTTGCATACAGGGGAAAGCAGATGAGACAGAATCATCCTATGCAGTAACAGTCCACTTCCTATTGCATGGAATAAATATTAATAAACAAGTCAAGCAAACTGTTTTGTGGAAGCAGGGACAAAGACTTCCTGTTAGGACCAGCAAAAACAAAAAAGAAAAATCAATACTCAAACTATATAATGAGATTTAATTACAACAGAAATCCACAGGCAATCTGACAATTCTTACACTTTTTTCCTCTCACTGGATACACTAGAGGGACTTTGCTCAAGAAGACTCAGCTAAGAAATTTCATTTAATTGTTTAAAATGCTAAGTCTTCCTCAGAGTTTTTACCATCCTGTTTATCTTGCCTGAACAGTTCTGAAACTCATCAGCAAGCAACAGAGTTACTGCTCTACTCAGAATGCAGCATTTGGTTTTAATAATCCATAGGCTCCCAAAAGTGCCTAGGGCTTTAAGCTGTTTTGAAGCTGTTGCCTCTTCTCCCTCTTCCTTTTACATTTCTTCGTGCAGACACACTTTAGTATAGAATAAAATATTTTTACATACAGCTGAAGCTTCTGGAGGTGACAACTGCCAAGATCATGCAACATTACACTTTCACCCAAGAGCCATGCCTCGCTGCATGCCGGGACCTGCTGCCTTATGGACCACACCTCTATTAAAAGAAGAGGGTGGATACCATCTTCTCCAGTTCATGGAAATTAAACTGTAGGCTGCTGGAGTGTTACCAACACTGAACTGAACTGAAGACAGGAATCTTCCCAGGCCCAATTCTTATGTACCTAGACTAAAGCAGCAGACACAGGCTGAGTTCAGATGCCAGCTCTCCAGAAGTTTCCAAAACTGCTACAGAAGTATTTACAAGTCTATTTCCAAATATCTGTAACTATCTGTTATCCATAGCTATTTTAGGTATTTGCGTCCTATGCTCTAGCTAGAAGTACACAAAGCTACCTGCTCTTCAAGGATTTATTAAAAAACAGTGACAAACTCTAGAACTGAAGCTTCAGGTTGAAGCATGGAGAGTCTTAAGGAATAATTAAGATAATAAAGAGTATTAAAACGTAGTCATTGCCACACTATAAACAATGGTCCCTAGGGCTGAGGAGCAGCCAGCCCTTCCCATCAATGCCTTAAACTGTCTGTCACAGGGGAAGGGAATTCCCTCCTCATCCCAGCAGAAGATTAGTGGGCACCCTCTGAACATGCGGCTCGCAAAGACTGCTGCCAGCACGGACGCCGATGCCGTTCTTACTTATACGTGCCTAATCTTCCTTTTCCTAAACCTAGCCAAGCTATTTACCATAATATCCTGTGGCAGCCAGTTCCGCAGGTTCGTCAGATCAAAACTCAGGGAGCCCAAGGAAACGAACCCTCCCATTCAAAGCGCGGGGGTCCCCCAGCCGAGCCCAGCGCCGCGGCACCGACAGCACAACGGCGGCGGAGCCCCGCCGCCGGGCAACCGGCTGCAGCGGCCCGGCGGGTGCCCCGGGAAGGGGCCTCCCTCCCCCGCGCCGCCCTCAGGCCCCGCCGCCGGCGCCGCCCTCAGGCCCCTCACGGCCCGGGCGGAGACGAGGGGCGCCCGCCCCGCCAAGGGGCCTACCCCCGCCCCTGGGGCCGCGCCGCCCGCCCTCACCGCTGTCGCCGATGATGAGCAGCTTGAAGAGATGATCGTAGTCCCTGGCCATGGCCGGGGCGGCGGGAGCAGCCGCAGGCGGCGGAGCGAGCGGGGAGGGGGGGAGGGGGCGGCGGCGGCGGCTCCGGGCCGGATCCACTTCCCGAACAAACAGCCGGAACTGACAGCGGCGCCGCCACGCATGCGCACCGCCGGCGGGGGCCGCCAGCTGCGCCGGCACGCTGCCGCACACGCGCCGCGCGCCTGCGCGGGGAAGGGGCGACGCCCTCCGCTCCCCCGCCCGCCTCCGCCGCGGCCGCTGCGCGTGCGTTCGGGACTGCGCCTGCGCAGGAGGGGGCGGCGGTGTGAGGGAACCTCGCGCGCCTCGGCTGCCATGACGGACCCGTGAGGGATGGGCCACGCTGAGGCTGCCGGCCTCCCTCCTCCGCCCTGCCCGGGCTTGTGCTCCTCTTTCCCCTGTGCTGAGCCACCGGGTCGCCTCCGCTAGGCAGCGGTGTATCCACCTCGGCTCCCGTAGGCTCTCACCTGAGGCATGCGGATGTAGCAGAAGGGGAGGCCATCCCCGCGGAACCACCAAAGGCGTGAAGGAGCCCCAGCACTTTCAGTCACTGTCAGCTCCACGCCTGAGAAAGCACAGGAGCAGCCCAATGGCTGGGATCACGTTTTGCTTCTTCAGCATGATGCCTGTGTACCAAAGCAGCAAGTCTCACAGCTGCAAGGACAGTTCCCATCAGAGCCCAGCCTACAGGTGAGGAAGCCCACAGCAAAGTGATGTGAAATGCCCAGGTGTGTCATGCAGGCCTGGCAATTCAGGCCAGTCTGGAATTAGATTCCTGGGGTTTTTAATCCAGAGATGTGGCTGTCTATGGCTCAGGAAGGGCCTTGACCTCACACACAGCAGCAGCTGTGCCGGCACCATCCACAGCCCAAATCTACAGAGTTTCAAACAGCACTCTCGCAGTTGTCTAACACAAAAACAGCCTGAGGAATTTTGCTGTCAGTTGCACAGATACTGACTACGCAAACTCGACAAGACTATGATCGCTTTTTAGGTGATCTCCATGTTTAGGTGGAGACACAGCATGAGGAGAGTGCTGGTTCTCTCTCAAATATTTTTGCAGAGAAATAATAAGTTCTTACTGGTACTTCAACCCCTTAGATTAAACAATGCACTGGTTTGATTTGGAATATGTAAATGACATAAGACTTACTTTCCCCGTTATTAAGGCTTTTCAAGACATACGTAAACACAAAATAACAAAAGGCAGCGTGCTAGGTATTGCTTCTATCTTAAAAGTAATTTTAGTTTAGCATAGATTAAAACCAAAATACTGACATTACTTAGTTAAAATAAGTTGATTTTTAAAATTTTAACCTTACGTTAACAATTCATTGACACAAGTATCTCATTAACATGCATTTGTCTTCAATTGGGGAGAGCTGTATTAGCACAGAAGAACACAGACCTTTATGGTCCAAGGAAGGATGACGCAGAATCTGAGGACAGTTAACTTGAAAACAGTTAACTTGAAAATACCAATCTGTAATGCAGTGATAATTACAATATAATTAGTTGTTATAAAGATGCTTAAAGGGCAGGATGCACCTGCTTTGAGGATCTTTTTGGTAGGACCCAAGGACAAGTAAAAGATTGAAACCAGTGGAACATCACCACTGCAAACTGTCAGTGACACTGTGAGGCTGTTCGCGCACCAGAACAGGTTGCCCAGGGAGGTTGTGGATCCAGCCCACCCAGACAGTGCCCTGAGCAACCCGCTCCACTCGAGCGTGCACTGAGCACAGGGCTTGGACTAGCTGAAATCCAGAAGCGCCTTCCAGCCACACCTGTGCTGTGATAGGTGAATGTTTCTTGGAGAACAACAGACTGTTTTTAACAGTATTGCTTTTTCCCTTAACATTGACTCGAAAGCTATAGACTCTGGATTTATCTAATAACGTTTTGTTAAAAGGAATAAGAATATTTTTTAAGGCAATCGTCTCTGACCAATTCTAGTTTCGTATTTCTTCCGCATAGGGTATTGTGGTATGGTTCCACGGTTATATTTGCCTAATCTGTATGCAATTCATCTGGAAACAAACCAGCCCAGCATGGCTAAAATAGCATGTCTGGGTTGAAGATTTTTTTTAGCACATAAAATCACATATTCTAAATACTTTTGATCAACGATATAGCTAATGTCTGTGGTTTTAATTATAAACCTTCCTTAATCTCAGCCTTCAAAAAAGTATTCTAGACTTAAAAACTCACCCCTGTCAAGTCCCACACATCCTGAAATCCACTTAGATGACTTCCATCTTACATTCACTCTGCAACTCATGCATTTAAAATACCACACCCTATAGCTCATTCTACCTTATTCTCAAATGTATGTTGTAGCTAACAGGAGCAGGAGAAAGGCTGGAGTGTTACCAGATGTGAGCATGTGTCATTTAACAGACTCACAGAAACCCTGCTAGAAAAGGGTTTGCAGCTAGCCCAAACCTAGCTCAGTGCTAAATCAACTCCCACCACATACCAGCCACCCCAGTAAAGCACTGGGGCTGCCAATCATATGACCCACCATGTGCCCCGAGCATCAGGGTATCTGAGGGTGCTGCTTCGTAGCTGCAGGGTGATACCTTGAATCCAGCATGCAAACCACCAGCTCAAACCCAAAATGACAATGACTCCTATTACTTTTAGTTTTATCGTCACAAAACCTCATCATGTGAAAAGTGTGAGATGGCATGATGTTACCTAATAAAATGGACAGTGCATGCTGTGCCTTGCCACAAAAAAAAAAGAAAATTTTAATATCTTATGCTTCCACATTTGTTTCTTTTCCGTTTAAATTTTTAGCACCTCGTAAGTTTAAATTATTTTTTGATCTTCTCAAAATACACACACTTCAGCTGTCACTCAGACAATTGCTTGACAGTTCAAAGCTGTTATTACAGTCAGTTGTGGGGAAAAATTACCTCTTACTGACAACTGGTATTTTTAAGACATTTGAAATGAGAAAAAAATTAATTCTTTTGTCTCCAAGTTGACACAATCAATTTATCAGATCTCGTGTTGTGGCAAAAATTATGGGTATTTTACCTCTGATGTATTATATTGCAGTGTATAAATAGTTTAGTGAAAAGTAGCTATCAAAATCCAAATTCAGTGTTTTGTTGTAATTGAAAAATCAGCATATTCTCAATAAGTGCAAGTGAGCTCCTACCTTTTACTCCTCCCCCTCAGAAACAACTAAACTGGGTGCAGAAATTCAGCTGCTGTTAGGAAAGATGAATGAGTTTTTCCACTTGCTGCTATGTAAGGTGGAAATACAAATCATCAAAATACCCTTAATAACAAAAGATCTTACTGGCTAAAATTAACAAGTGAATAAAAAAGGCTCCTACTTAACTGTAATTTTCACATGTTTATGTGAAACACTGTTGTGGTTTAGCCCCAGCTGTCAGCTAAGCACCACAAAGCTACTTGTTCACTCCTCCCCCCACCCCTGTTGGGATGGGGAGGAGAATCAGAAAAAAAAAAACTTGTGGGTTGAGATGATAACAATTTAATAACTGAAATAAATTAGAAGGTAATTAATAATAGCAATGAAAAGGAAGATAACAAGAAGAGAAATAAAACCCGAGACAGATAAGTGATGCACAATGCAATTGCTCACCACCCGCTGACCGGTGCCCAGCCAGTCCCCGAGCAGCGATTGGCCCCTCCCAGCCAAGTCCCCCAGTTCATATACTGAGCACGATGTCCTGTGGTATGGAATATCCCTTCAGCTATTTCGGGTCAGCTCTCCTGGCCATGCTCTCTCACAGCTTCTTATGCACCCCCTTGCTGGCAGAGCATGGGAAACTGAAAAATCCTTGACTTACGATAAACACTACTTAGCAACAACTAAAACATCAGTGTGTTATCAACATTATTCTCACAGTAAATCCAAAACACAGCACTGTACCAGGTACTAGGAGGAAAATTAACTCCATCCCAGCCAAAACCAGGACAATCAATTAGAATCTGAGACAAAATAGGTAAGCCAAGGTGCCCATGGTAAGAGCTCAAACAGCCATTCTTCAGAGAAACTTGCAAATTTTTTCTTCCTTCCTGCCTGCAGTGGTTAAGTAAGTGAGTCCAAGACAATCACTGAGCTTTTTGGCACTTATGTAATAGTTTTTGAATGGTGTAACATTTTGTACATGTTTCAGTGCACAAAATTTTTTGTATTGCATGGTTTAACTGCTGTTCCTCTGTTATCCCAAAACATAGCTAATTCATTATAGATGAAACTAATTCCAGTGCCCTAAGACTGCCAAATCCTTAAGAGCATTTAGTTGAGATTTCACTCTGATATTATTACCAATTCAGTGCAAAATATAGTTTTAAGATGGTTTAAGATTTGGAAATATTTTGGAAGGCAAAATCAGAATTAAAAACCACCTCCAGAATGCATGTAAATGTTATGAAATAAGTAGAATACAATTTCAGTAAGACCAGCTGGAAAGGACTGCAGTTTTGTAGAAGTAGCCAACTGCATAAATAAAAGATTGGAAATAAATAACCAAAGAGCAATTTTGTAGCTTGGTTTCATAGTTGATCACAAACTAACCACATCAACAACACTCTGCTGTTACAAAAAAAAAAACAAACACCCAGACCTTGTGTTGTGATACACAACAGTGTGGTACGTAGGGCTGGCAAAGTAAACATTCTCTCCTAGAAGACCTGGTCCAGCTGTGGATACCATGAGGCAAGTATGAATCAGAATGGAACAGAGGGCAGCAGTGTAAGTTTAGAAAATATGAAAATCTACGAGAAAGACTTAGAAAATCTGAACTTCTTTCATCCAGGGGTGAGAAGACTAAAGTTATGATGCGGTTGCTGCAAAATGAACTATGTTCAATGTCTGTGGGACTAGGAAAAGCATCAATGGACTCAAGAAACAGCAAGGAAGATTTTTTTTTTTAAGATGCAAGGTAAGTTCTGACAGTCTGAAAAGTTTATATAATGAAGTATATGGCATAGAGAAGTTACGGGATCTTCACCATAAAGTGCTGTAAAAAACAATTATATGAAAAACAGTTGGGAATAGTTCAGTTGGAGCTGAGACTATCTTAGGGTGAGGGGTAAACCAGCTGATTTTCCCAGGTCCCTTCTAACAGTATTCCACTGACTCCTACAGCAAACCTCTGTAGCCAGGAGCCTACACCACAGGCTTGGGAGCGGACGTAACACTGAGAAGGCTTTGACAGGTTCTTGCACTTCTGACCAGAACAAAGCCCAGCACTCCCACACATCTACTCAAGATTGTATCTTGCTGTCTGAGGCATCAGTATGATGAAGATAAAATGTTTTTCTGTTTGCTGCTACTGCCATAGCAATCAGCAAATTGATTCTAGCAGAATGCATGTTCCCCTGGAGTTACATTTTACGCTATCAAGTTTTATGTGTAGTATTGTGTTCTCTTCCCTTCGTCATGGTTTGAGCCATCCAGAGTTACATGCAAGGGAGATTCACACACACACACCACCCACCCATTTGAAACAACAAATTTAATACTCTGGCTTCTCAGGTGCAACCAGCTTCTGTGTAGTTTCATAAAAGGCTCACTTAACTATTACTCTACATTGAATGTAAAGCTCATTTTTCCTTCTAAAAATTTGTATTCTGCAACAACATTTTCACTATTTCCATCAAGTGGCATAAAAGGTATTAGTAAATTAAAATACATTTTTAAAAAGGAGGTATATGTGGCCAGGTAAAATAAAATACTGTTTTCTTGGAGCAGTACAACTCATTGACAAAAAAAAAAAAATCTGTATGTTGGAAGTGCCGAGTATCTTGTGAAGCCTTTGAAGACATAAAAATAGAGGACTTCACAAGTTGAGTAACTAAGAAGCTGGCTGTAGACAAAAATACTTTGGAAATTAATAAGAGTAATTACCAATTTCATTAAATGTCAGTTCTGGCTCAGTTTTAAACCCTAGCTTGCCTCAGTTTTGCAAAAGGTTTTTATAGATTACAGCACTACCCACTCTACAGACTGTAAGCCCTAGAAAAAGCAGGTGTAAAAAGTAAATCGCAGTATAAGGTTGTTGACAAATGAATTTGTAAAAAGAACAGTTTACACCAGAAAGATCAAAGTCAGAGCCTTTATTAAATGTTCCTTCTTTAAACAGACTGCATTTAATCCCCCTTTCGCATTTGTGATTTCTAAGGCTATTTTAAATACTTTGTTTTACAGGGATTTTCAGTCTTCAGAACTGTCACAAGCAGCAAGTTAGCAGTACACAAAAACAATACGCTTTAACTTTCACCTAGTTCTATTCCTGCTTCACAGGGTCTGTGGAAAAGACCAACACTTCGAGTACTGGAGGTTTTGCACAGACCCTGGAAAGGAAATAGGTGTCACCAGAGTTTAAGTCTGATGTGCTCTAGCCACATCTCACAATTGGCCACAATTTACCATTAGTATATCTGTTTCTTGCGCATTACCTGTTTCAAAAAGGGGACCAAATTTTCAATTTTCAGCTAATGTAGGTCTAATTAAGGCTATTCTGGTATATTTGATACTAAAATACTCTCTGGGAGTCCTTTTCATGAAATCCCATCAGAATTAACATTTTCAAAAATGAAAACATTTAAAATAGGTGTTTGAGTTGAAATGCTGATGCAGCGGTTGGTTCAGTGTTTTCTTGTCTTCTGGAGCTTTATTATCATGTCAGTATAGTGTCATCTATCTGTTCATCAGAGTCAGCCTGGCCAGCCAGCTTCTTCAGAGATCTCCTGCAGCTTTCGTTGAGAAGCTCCAAGCTGGCAGCATCTAGAATCTTGGAAACTGACTGTGGAAGGAAAACACCACCAATTCCTTATGACATACCATTCAAAGGTGCTTTACGAGTTGCATTTATCAAAAATCTTTCAAACATCCCAAAGTCTTTCATCTGGTTTTATGATTCTAGACATGGGGACGATAAAAAAGCAGCTAAGACTTAGAAAAGATGTGTGGAAATGGTTGTACAAAGTAATCCATCTAAAAAAACCCACTCTCCCTAGCACCACTAAAGCTGCAGTAGCATTATACAAGTGACAAAAGTGATAAACTGGCAGTCCTAGCTGAGGTAACTACAGCACAGGAAGGGCTTAAGGCACTTTGAAAGCAAGGCTACTATGTTAAACATGGGAGGTATGTTAAATACCTTCATTTTATTAATACTGCACTGTAAGATTGTACAGTATCAGTGTTGCTTATTTCTTCAAGGCTTAGCATGAAATTACTGATGGAGGCTTAAATGCAAATAGGAATGTCCCACTCCATCTATTCTGTAAGAGACTGCCAGCACATCGTGAGGCTGCAGGCACAACACTGAACATATGCAGAGCGCTGTGACACAACCTTCTACCAATGATTACATTTTCTTCTAGCTCATACCTCAAGCACTTCTTCACCCGCTCTCATCTTCAGAAGATTGACAATAGCTTGGTCGCTGTAGGCTCTTACACTGGTGTTTTTGTCCTTTGTGTTATCCAGAAGTGCTTTGAGAATTGGTTTAATTGTTTGAGGATCCAGTGAGGGAAGATGGTTTTTATTTGCCCACCAAATCATCTTTTCTGCAACTAGCTTTATGTCACTGGATGAGTTCTGAAGACACTGAAGGAGACAAAGATGGACTTAAATTCAGATATACCAAGGACAGGTATTTAAAACATTAGTTTATCTTTTTTCCTAATTTAAGTATTTTAAACTATAGCTAGAAAAGCAAACAGTTTTCATCTCACAGGTATACAAGAGAGAAACTTGTCACCAACAAGTTTGAGTCAACTGTGTAACGGTAAGAGAAGATCAAGCTTTGAAAACAAGACACCTTTTCAAAAGAAAACTTCTAAAAACATGGTTAATGACAGTCACACACTTCTCTTATCTGTTTCAGGAAATTACAATGACCACCAAGTGCAGCAAAAGTTGATAGTGGTACCACCTCTCTAAGATACACGCCATCAGTGGCAACGACCAAGTCAAACTGATTGGAGTATAAGGTGCATTTCAACAGCAGATTTCATTTAAAAATACAAAAAAAATTAGAACTTTGTATTTTTGATTTATAGTCAACACATCTAAAACATGGAAGCTAACATCTGAATCTCAGCTGCATTATTAATACTGTGATAAAGGTATTGTGACATTTGTGAGATAAATTTTATATTTTATTACAATATTATGATACAAATTAATATATAAATGTAGGATTTCAAGCAAAAAGTCTGCACTGAAGAATGATGGCCTGCATCATGTCAACTTGCATGTTTGATAGATTTTTCAAGTAAATTAAAAAGGAACATAAAACCTGAAAAGGTAACACATTTTTATTTACAGTAAAGATGACAGACAAAATAAAAAGCAGCTCTCCTGCTCCAGCACTACCCCTCATTCTATCTTCCCCTATCTTTTCTAATATGTTAAAAACATCCTGAGGTTCTGATATTCAAAATTCAGGGACACTTGGTGGGCAGGGAGGGAACAAAACAAACAGGGGAAAAAAAAAGCAGACACCAAAAAAAACAACCACCAAGAAAGAATGGAATTTTGAGGTCGAATATTTGAATAGCTATGAATTGAAAAACTGAAAAAAGCATTAACTTCAGTACTCTCTTTTATATTAGTCTTTCGGAGATACTGCCTGCCACAACAGTGAAAGACAAAGAATACTGCAGCAAAACCAGGTAAGGTGAGAGCTTGTACTTAATGCATTTCTAGCAAAGGCCCTTTGACCTTTAGCAACCTTAAAAAACTGACAACTTCCCCCCACGTTTCTCTGGTCCTCTGCTAGCTGTTTGTTACTGCAAAGGAAAAAATGAATTCCTAATAATCAAACTCGATGTTTACCACACAAAGATCAGAAGTCACATTTCCATATTACAGCAGGGATAGTGGTATTGTATTCACAACTGCAAAGCAGGCTGATAAAGTGATTCTGTCTGTACTTTGCCACAAAAAGAAATGCCTAGATTTTCAGGGATTGGGGGATTTAGAGCTTCCCAAGATAAGGCAACCAAGCTTTCAGTTTTCAGGTTGGGTTACCACACAGAAATTTGATAAAGAAAACCCCTGTGAGTTAGCTCAAAGAAAGATCATGTGAGAACAACGCCAGGTAGTTATCAGAAACTTTTACCTTAATAAAGAGGTTGGAAAGTTTTGGAGGCAGGTTCCCTCCTCCTTCCATGTGGTATTTCATAAGAAAGCCCATCCCTCTGATGCCACTAACTGCAATGGGAATCTTCAACATAAAAACAAAAATTGGTATTACTACAGCAGAGTACAACAGCCTTTATAACTAGGCTAATGGTCTGGTAAGCTTTTGCAGAAGGCTAAAATGAAAAAAAAGTAGCATGCAAAGCAGGAGAACATTGGGTTAATGTTATTGTGTAATACCGTGAACAAAATCATAATGTGATTATGAGCCACACAGAATAAGGCAGCAGGACCCACAGAGCCCCCAGGTTCCCTACATCAAATTACTCATTCAACCCTAGATTTAAAATCTTCCTCCTAAAATTAAATATTTGCACTTCTTGAAAACGTGGCCCGTGCATGAGATCTTTAATAGAGAAACAGAAATGTAGATTACTCCCAATGAAAGCTACTCTGCAGTTAAAGATTATTTAATCTTTACCTCCACAGGGATCAGCACTCAAAAGAATCAGAACAGTTGTGCAATTTCACTATAAAAACCACATCTAGCCAAGGGAGAATCTTCACATTGTGCTTGGGGATTTTTGCTCTGTTTGGTAACGCAGAGACCCTGCACACCTTTTAAAATCACTCCCTTTTAAAATCACAAGCGCCTGCAACAGAACTCACCCACTCTCACCTAGGACTTACCCTGTCAGCAGTGGCATTGCTAAGGATCATCTCCTGAACGCTGTTGTAGTATTTGGGGGAGCACAGCCTGCTAGGAGCCACGTTTACAGCCACGGAGAGAGCCAGGCTCCGTCCATGTCTCACCATCCAGTCAACGCCAGAGACATCTGCTGCAAAGGAAATAAAGGAACAATAGCAAAGCTGCTATTCATTCCTCTTCATCTAGGAAAGCTTTTGTTAGTTTGTCAATTCACTTCCATAAAACGAAATAATAAGCAGCATCTAAAGCAATGCCTTGATTCCTCCACTCCTTCCCAAAAGCCATACAAACAGGGCTAAAAATGCACTGCATCTATCAGATAGGAACACCTAGGCAGATGTGGAAACCAGACACAAAGAAGTGACTGTTGGTCAACCCAGTTACTTCTGATGGTCTCGGTCACATATAATTAGCCTCACATCACTTAGTGCATGAAGGAACTTGGCATCAGAATTGCACAAGCTTTGACTCTCTAATAAAATTGCAAAAGTCATCTGTAATTTGAAACCAGCTAACGGATTCTCTTTTTAATTCCATAGGAGAGCAATCCCGTAGCACTCCCAACCACTGTGAGTTCCTACAAAACTCATGCTTTATCTAACTTGGAGGCAAATTAGTTAATCCTCCAAAAGCACCTGAAGTCACCAGATGTGGTCTGCAACAAGCATAAGCCAATCTAAGATCACAGTGTCATCAAAAAAGGTGGAATGGCCCTCCTGTCCACCCTGCCTGAACATCCTGTCACCTCCCATCCACTGCATCTGCACTAGCAATCACTCAGACGTGCTGGTACTTCCATCCACTCATCTGAAAAAAAGTATGGGTAACCCCAAATTACAACCACCACCTTGCACTCAACTGTGTACCCAGGTGTACAAATGAACAGCCACAAGCAGAGAAAAGTACAAGAAAATCTAGAGTGGAGATTCAGGTTTAAGATAAAGAACCTAAATAATTAGTGACAAAGTTTTCCTGAACCAATGGCTAGGAAGGAATCTTCTGCTTTCAGAATCAGTTCTAGTCACCGTAAACAGCTTCACCTACCCAGTAAGTGCTGGTGAAGAACAGTACCAAGCTCGTCTTCTGACAGAAATGCACACAGTTCTGCTAAGCAGCCAGCTGAGGCCATGCGGGTGGCATCCTAACGAGGAAAGGAAGAAAAGAGTAACACCCATTGAGCTCACTACACATCAGAGATAAGCAGCAGGAAGAGTAAGTGACAGAAGATAATATGAAATAAAAAGAGGAGAAAATAAGTAATATTAGTAGTATTTCACTCTTG